GGGGAGAGGCTTACGGTGGGAATGAGGCCTGTGAAGGCCTCTCCCGGTGCCCCGGCCTCACCTGGTGGTTGACCCCCCAAGCCAGCACGGCCAGGAGGGGATCGGCGGCCCGCGGCACCTTCACCCGCTGCGGTACGAACCGCTTCTGTTTCTTCTTAGTCTTAGTACGAGGCGCCGCCGGACCGGGACCGGGGCCGGGACCGGGCCCCGTCGCCGCCATGGCTGCCGCTTCCGCCCGTTCGCTCGCCCACTTCCGCCCGGCTCTGCCGCGGCGCCGGAAGCCGGAGGTCGTTCACCGGAAGCCGGAAGTCGCCCACCGGAAGCCGGCAGGGAACAAACAGGGCGCCCATAGTGATGCCCATAGGGGCCTGGGGATCGCTATAGGGGACGTGTGGTGCCTATAGGGGATGTGTGCTCCCTATAGGGGACATCTATGATCCCTACAGGGGATATGATCCCTATAAGGGATGTGTGATCGCTATAGAGGACGTATATCGTCCCTATAGGGGACTCGTGGTGCCTATAGGGGATGTCTGCTCCCTACAGGAGATGTATATGATCCCTATAGGGGACACGTGATCCCTGTGGGGGACGTGTGGTGCCTGTAGAGAATGTATACTCCCTCTAGGGGATATATATGATCCCTCCAGGGGACACATGACGCACAATAGGGGACGTGTGGTGCCTATAGGGGATGTCTGTTCCCTATAGGGGATAAGTAGGATTCCTACAGGGGACGTGTGGTGCCTATAGGGGATGTCTGTTCCCTATAGGGGATAAGTAGGATTCCTACAGGGGACGTGTGGTGCCTATAGGGGATGTCTGTTCCCTATAGGGGATAAGTAGGATTCCTACAGGGGACGTGTGGTGCCTATAGGGGATGTCTGTTCCCTATAGGGGATAAGTAGGATTCCTACAGGGGACGTGTGGTGCCTATAAGGGGTTGTGTGCTCCCTATAGGAGACATATATGATCTCTATAGGGGATGTGTGATCACTATAGGGGACGTGTGGTGCCTATAGAGGATATATATGATCCCTATAGGAGACTTGTGTGTTCTGAATGGGGGGGGGAGGGGTGTGTGCCTATATGGGGGGGTGTGTGACCCCT